GCAGGATTCTGGAATACACATTCGTACACACTGAAACACGCAAAACATAAAAACTAATACAGTACAAGAGTGGCGGACCTTAGGAACAAAGGGCCCCGTTTTTTTCTTGGGCCCCCCAACCACCAACCGCAGAAAGGGCGGGGTGGGAATGGCAGTGCGTTGAAGTCAATGTTACAGCAGCCACGCCTCCCACCTGCTGTGCAATCACCCACACCGGAATGTGTGGCACAACAATGCCTGCGTTCCGGGCCAGTGCGATCTGAAAAAATGCTTCAAGCACTATTTTATCAGATCGCACAGGACCGGAGCATAGGCACTGAAGTGCCACGCGTTCTGGCGCAGGCGATCACATTGCAGGCGGGGAGGAGGCATGGCTGTGGTGCCATTGACTTCAACGCACTGCCTTGCCCCCCTGCCCCTGAACGCAGGAAGCCGGCCAGGATGCGCTCCAGTGCTTCCAGCAGCAAAATTGTGAGCCAGCCCTTAAAAAAGACCTCCCTCTCTGTGCTGGTGCATTCTGTTATCACAAGTATTCCAAAACCGAAATTGCCAAGCAGGCTCACCTTTCCACAGGCTCCATGAAAGAGAACCGGGACCTCTCTGCTCATACCATCATAAGCATAGACAGCGGCTTGGCTGCAGGCTGGAGAAGGCTGGACACTGAACTTCTGAAACTTCATAAACACACGGACGACCAGTCTGTCAATAGATATAGATCTGCATCTGCACACTACCTGTCCCTTTCCCCCCCCCCTCATCTCCCGCCGCCTGTTACTACGGGGGGAACTCACCTGACCCCGCTCCCCTGCTAAGAAGCCCGTTGGCACTGCCCCGTATTCCACCACGGTTGGGGGGCCCAGGACCAGACCTCACTGGGCCCCCCCACAGCTTCAGGCCCTAGTGCAGCCTCACCGGCTGCACCGGCAGTAGTTCCGCCCCTGCAGTAGAATGTACTTTGTTTATGCATTGCGCAAAAAAGTCCAATCGGGATATTCTGGGAGGATTCTGCGCTATAGTAGTAGCCACAAACGTGCGGAATACACACGTATATTAAAATGTGCGCGTTTTCGTGTTGCACAGACGAACGTCCGAATTCACAACCGCTATATTTGATTGAAGCCTTTAGTGAAAAACAAACACAATTTCTGTAAAAATAAAGCACGGTAATGAAATTTTGCATTTGGTTTAGCGAAATTACACTTCTGGATGGTATTACTTAGGAGGATTTCCGCTCAGCAGAAGCACCATTCCAAAATGTTTCTCTAATTGTCATGGAAAAACCTCTCTAAAAAAATGAGCGTAGCTTTCTCATAAACATTTTAAATGTTCATGTTCAAGATAATTATCTACCATGTATCAAACAGTTTGTTTTTTCTAGGTTACCTGAGATGCTTTTCAGCTATGAATAGTTGCCTGCAGCTCCGTAACAGCTGTTGAAGGAGAATTTCTGCTTGTATGACACCCTTGAGGCAAGAACAATTTTTAATGTAATTCTAAATCTATTTTAACAAGTCAGATCAACAAGATCTTGGAAAAAAAAGAAAAATGTGTGCTGTTGCTTTGTGCCGAATTGGGCCAGATATTATTAACCACTGCACTGAACCCTGTGGGGAATACCGGTCCTGTATGTTATTGAGCCTGTAAATTTGATAATGACACCCATATAGTGGAGATAGATAGTACTCATATACCTTGGTGTTATCACTGTGGTAAAGAAGGCTATGTATCTATAGGTAATGGGTATATCTAGGTGAAGGAGGGGGGAAGAATTCAGGATGCCAGGTTAGTACAGGGACCCAATGCAGTTATCCCTGATTTCATAATGAAGTCCCTATTTAACTTTCTTATAGGAAGTTTGGAAAAGTTCCGATAATAAATATGTATGTAATCTATGTATGATGTGTTAGTGTACATATATACTGTATATA